AGAACCCACATATTTATACAATCACACCTTTCTTTAAATAGATTGTGAATAAACAAACAATTTTGTTATTTAATACAAATGGTCAGTAAAGTTTGCTATGTCAACTACAGTCCGCTTGTTTCTGAAGGTCTGTCAGCAGTTTTCAGTCTTTCAGAATTAGTTTTGGCTCACTACAGAGGGATCAAATGCAAAATATTTTTGCTTTCTTAAGCTATCGTTAATATAAGAAAATGAGTTTGAATGACAGAACAGCTGAGGTTGGCAGGAACCTCGGGAGATCATACCCTCCAACCCCCTGCAAAAGCTGGGTCAGCTGCAGCAGGCTGCCCCAAACAGCATCTGGTCGAGTTCTGGATATCTCCAAGGATGGAGACTCCCCAACCTCACCCTGTGCAACCTTTTCCAGTGCTCAGCTACCCTCCAGCTGGTCTTCATGCTGCCAGCAGCAGCCCTTTGAGCTTGACCATTCCATGGGTTTTCAGTCCACTTCACTGCCCACTTACTCAGACCCAGACGTCATCAGCTTATCTGTAAGGATCTTACATGGTGTCAAAGCCCTACTGCAGTCAAGACAAACACCACTCGCTGCTCTCCCTCCTCCACCAAGTCACTCATCTCATTGTGGGAGGCTATCAGTCGGTTACACACAACTTGCCCTTTAGAAATCCATGCCAACTGAGAAGTCCGAGAAAGCTTTTAAAAAGGTATTTCTTTTTCAGCAAATAAATCTCTGATTTGGTATTTTTTTTTTTAGCTAAAATAAATTTTGGACCATATCTGCAGGATACAAAACACTATAAAACAATCTATGAGGTCAGGTCTTACACTTTGACACATGTGGCAAATCATTATCATTTCAGCTTGCATCTGATAAGCACTGAATACAAAACTTAGAGAACAATAATGGTACCTTTATACTTTATCCAATTAACAACACACCTTTCTGATTTGCAGCTACAAAAAGATTATTGCAACACTATGCTAAAAACTACTTATAAAAAGAAGTATTTAAAAACATATTTTTTCACTAAGAGTATTATGAGGAAACAGGTGAAGAACGTAATCAGTTTTGTTAGCTCTACAATCAAGAAACAATTTGCTCATGATGACAGTGAAGTCAGGAAACTAGCTTAGCAAAAAGATAGGCAAACCAGCAGTTTTAGTGCCACCCCCGTGCACATGGACATGCATGCCCACACAAAACGAGACAGCAGCTGGGGAGTTAAACCGGCAACTACATTCATTTTAATACTCAATTTTACATGAAAAGCCCCCAACAGCTATCAATGAGAACTGACCTATCCCTGCACAACCAAGAGGTGCAAGGACTTCTCAAAGGCCCCGCTTTCATAAACACAACACTTAATTTTACTACTCTGAATATTCACACTGCTCTTGCTAACCCTACTCATTAAAACAGAACTAAGCATATCTGCAGGAGGGAACTAAACTACTACTAGTTTGAACGTGGTCAAAACCGTTAGGCTACAAAGAAATGTATGTGAAATTAAAAGGTGATTTCAATCCAAGTAATAATGACTAGCAAACCAGATTGGCCTTCTCATTATGCTGATCAAGGATTAAAAGATTATGGGCACCTGGCTTCTTTTATCTCCATGTACTTTGTTGATTCAAAATTCATCATCTCAAGCATTCTCTGCTTTTTCCCTAAATTGGGAGCTTTCCCATAACATTGTGCAGCCAATACCTCTACGTCCCCGTAAGTCAATTTATCCATAATAGCTATCTCCAAACTGCAGTGCTACATCATATATCTGTACTTGAGGCACCCTAAGACAATACTGAACACAGGGCACTATGTCTCGAATCGCCTATTAGGTATTACAGTCATCGAAATAAAAAGATCGTAAATGTTACTGTCAAACCTCCCCAATACACTGAAGGTGAAAATTAAATTCAACAAATACAAAATAGAAATAAAGTAACGAGTTACGACACAAGCTCTTCCTTAACCTTTAGGTGGCAATAACAGCAACAATCCAATGAAAGATTATTGCTTGCCCTTGCCCCACCTGAGGGAATGACTGCAAAAGGCTGATTTGAAAGTATACGAAGGTAAGACCAATTATTCCATCCCCCTCAACAAAAAAGCAACCAATCCCTATATATGTAGAAGGTTATAAACCAAGAAATAATAATTTGGGACTACTAAGTCCTTCATTATCTTTAACTGATGCCTTGGAAAGCGGTTTGCAGGTTTTTCTGGCACTTACTTTGATGACACATTAAATCCACATATATTTTGCTTGTTTAAAACTGTCATGATCACATGAAGGACAGTTATTCAAAGCAGTTGCAAAGTAAACCCTAAATCATATCCCCAGCTGCCAATAATATCATGGCTGTCACAGAAAAAAGGAAATAGATTAGAGAGGCTGCGACATAATGAAAATTTGGCATTCGGAGAAATTCAAGTTCCCACAAAGGATTATTTCTGTACAAAGAGTCACTCCTCGGATAACTTCCCGTTCCCAGAAAAAGAGCTCTCCATCCCATTAACAATCGGTCGCTTACTACCGACTCCCGTGACACATCCCAACCATTACAAAAAAGCGCAAGCCCAGGAGGGCGGCTGGTGCATTTTGGGCTGAAACTTGCCAAAAGGACAAGCCCCAGCCCCGCAAGCCGTGCGGCGGAGAGC